TGTTAAAGGTGTTACCTGAGGTTTCCTTTGAGCATATGGGTTAATGATGACATTAAAAACTGACTTTTTTCTGTTGTACAAAGAGTGTTAAAGGTGTCACCTGAGGTTTCCTTTGAGCATATGGGTTAATGATGACATTAATGACAGATGGTTGATGAACAGTTTCCAAAGATTCCTTGATTGCTAACTCGAGCTCTGGAATGGTGGTTACGTAATATCCTCTGCCCCCAAACATTGCAGTAATTCCTTCATAGCGGGCAGCTGGAGATAGACTTGTGGGTGGGATACTAGAATTCACATGTAGCAACGTATAAATTACTGTGATTACGTAAACGGGATGCTTAAAGTATTCAGTCCACTTTGAACATGAACAAAACCCTACAATCATTGGGTTACATTCAGTCATCATCTGTGTACCATCATTGTAAACAATAATTCTGTACATGAACAAAACCCTACAATCATTGGGTTACATTCAGTCATCATCTGTGTACCATCTTTGTAAACAATAATTCTGTATATGAACAACACCCTACAATCATTGGATTACATTCAGTCATCATCTGTGTACCATCATTGTAAACAATAATTCTGTACATGAACAACACCCTACAACGACGATTATATTCAGTCATCATCTGAGTGCCATCACTGTAAACAATATTTTTGTATATAAACAACACCCAACTAGGCCCACTGACAGTTGGGTGGGGGCAAATGAAACCTGGTTATGCCATAAAGCCCACAAAGCTCCTTTAGGCTCTATCTTCATTTAAACATAAAAAGTATTGTTTTTAGCTATTTTTTGCATATAGACCCTTGATATATTAAGAAAGACTCAAATAATAATTTGAGTAATAATTAATATGTATTTGTTACTTTATAGATTTAATAGATATTTGTTGTTACTTTATTGACGTTTTTACGTTTATACTGTGAGGTAAAAATGGCTGCTGCTATGATTTTGTCTGGTTTATGAGCTCGTTGCTGTCCTAATTTAGGATCTTCTTTTTAATAAGTTCTTTAAAGTTGTTAAAAGAGAGAGAAAGGGGGCCCAGCGAGGATGTTGCCCCGGGCCCATGCTGGCTTTTGATACTCCTAAACCCAACAATGACTGGATTACATTTAGTCAGGTGGGTACCCTCAATTTTAACAATGGTTTTGTCCATGATCAGCATCCTACAATGACTGGATTACATTCAGTCAGGTGGGTATCCTCAATGTTAACAGTGGTTTTGTCCATGATCAGCATCCTACAA